CCTGCGCGCGAGCGCGCACCCGCAGTTCTTGGGTTGTCTTTTCTCCTCCTATGGTTTCTCCATGGGAGGTTCGGCTATAAAAAGTAAGTCCCCTCCCTCGGTTGACTGTTTTGTCATGCACCTGCTGTACTGCATGCCACAGAGGTCCGGGCTTGAGGCTCACCTTTCCCCTTTGAGGGCTGCGGCTCGGCGAACGAGGTCTCTTTGCGCCCTCTGAGTTTGGGTTTGCTGGGCTGGCTCGGTCTGAGGGGCGTCCTTATTCCCCCCATGGCCAGCTGGTCTCGTGCGAAAGTACATCTGAGAGGACCATGTCGTCATCGCTGCCGTGGCTCCCCCCATGTCTTGAGAAGAAGTTGCCAAAGCTTGCGGCTTGGTGTCCGTGTCGCTGTTTCCCCAGTCCACTTCATGGTCTGGGTCCCCCGCCGCCATCTCGTCTTGTTGTGTAACATCTTTGGCTGGGTCCTTCACTTCCATGGTGTCGTGCTTCTCGGTCTTGGTCTTCTCCTTTTTCTCCTTTCTTGTCTTATTTTTCTTCTTCGCTTGCTTCGTGTCCTTTGCCAGCCTCGGGTCGTGGCGCAGCTCGGCAGTCTGGGCGGTGTCCCCCCCTTGCCACTGCTTCTTTTCCAAGATTGACTTGTACACCTTCTTGCCTTCTGCGAGGAGTCTGCGCACTTCCCCCGGGAATTTCCCAATGTAGAACCGTAGCTCCGGGTTGATCTTCGCCGCGAATTTAACGAGCTCATCGGCTTGTCCCCCCGTGTGTCGCCTCTCCTTGTGCCTCTACAAGTACCGTTGGTAGTCTTCGCTCTCCTCTGCTGTGAGCGCATCCCCCGTCTTGGGGTCCACACGTTGCTGCTTCTTGTACTCTTTGCCAATCCACTTGTCCAATGGATGTGGCTCATACAAAAGCGCTACTCCCCCCTTTGTCTCAAAGCGCACGTAGTCTGCGAGAGGTCGGCACTTTTTTGTTGTCTGGCTTTCCTCCCCTGCTGGCTCGGGCACTGACTGTTGCACGGGAAGCGGTGGCCTCCCCCTCTTTCCGCATGTCCTTGACACTGGCTGGGCTACTGACGGTTCCAGCAGCAATCATGTACTTGTAGCAACTCCTCGCCCCATCGTGGGGCTTATGGTACCAGGGGCCTTGTAAGCAAGCCTCGCAGCTCACCCCTATCCTTCGGAGGTTCAGCTAGCTTCGTCTGTTCCTCCCAGCTCGTTTTCACCTTCGGAGGTTTTGCATCGGGGGACCTATGTCCACTCCCCCCACGGCCACGTCTGAGGCTGCTCGAACTCGCCATCGACGTCCTCCTGGTAGATGTGGAGGATCACTTGCAGTTCCACAATCGAGTTGTATGCTCCGTCCCCCTACTAGAGGGCCACCTTCCGAAGAAGGGCCTCGTTCAGGTTCGGGAGAGGCTCGAAAGGGACCAGTGGCTCTCTTAAGCAACGTGGCAGCGGATATGATGCTCAAGCACCACAGGGCAAAGCGAAAAAGCTCCCCCGGAGTGTACAGCTCCAGGTCAACTCTTCGCCTTCCCCCCCGCACAAGAGGGCGGAACAGGCCCC